TTCTCTCTTCTCTCTTCTCTCTTCTCTCTTCTCTCTTCTCTCTTCTCTCTTCTCTCTTCTCTCTTCTCTTTTCTCTCTCTCTCCTCTCTCCTCTCTCCCTTCTCCCTTCTCCCTTCTCCCCTCTCTCTGTCTCTGTCTCTGTCTCTGTCTCTGTCTCTGTGTCTGTCTCTGTCTGTGTCTGTCTGTCTGTCTGTCTGTCTCTCTCTCTCTCTCTCTCTCTCTCTCTCTCTCTCTCTCTCTCTCTCTGCATGCATGTGTACACAGTGGAGGGAGTAGGAGAAAGTGGCCCTCTCATATTGGCCAATGGAACATGGCAGGAACAAAGCTAGTCTATAAAGAGCTCATCAACTGTCCCTTTTGGCCTCTTTCCTCTTCTTTCCCCTTCCTCTCTTCTCTGCTCTACCTGATTGTCTATCCCTCCTACTGATCATCCTGCACCGTGCTGTGAGGAAGCCCAGTCAGCTGTTCCTTAGAGCCCCGAGGGCCCCAGCCAGCAGCAGCGTCAGGTGCCAGACACGCAGGTGGAGAAGACTTCCCATCACCTGGCTCAACCAGGCCTTCAAGCTGTCCCAGGTAATGCCAAGGGGACAGGAGAGCTGTCCCTGCTGAGCCAAATGACAGGAGTATGACCCACCTTTTTCAAGCTTCTGTACCTTGGCATGGCTTACGATGCATTGGATAACCAGAACAGTAGGTCCTCAAAGCAAGAATCATGGTATAAACCCAAGCTCCAGCCCTTCCCATGACACTGTGACATTTAAAACGTAGTGAAAAAAGATGGGGGAGGCAAAGGCTCAGGGTGGGCATGGGGCAGGGTTCCAAGCTCTCTCCTCACCCCTCAGCCCTTAGTGTAACCATTCACTGATCCTGGATATGATCCAGAATTCAGGCCAGGTCCAGCTCTGACCATGGCCAAAAGTTAGTGCAAACAGTAAGTGCCACAGGCAGATAGCAGCTGCCACAGAATCCCTGTCGGTTTTGGTGGTCAGCAGATTGGGAGCTGTCCATGGGCATCCTCAAGCACCAAGCTGGCCCTGCCAAGCAGTCTGGTTGAGACTGGCATAGAGAAGGGCCTTCTTTCCAGGCTGATCAGGGCCCAAGCAGGCAGACATGTGGCAGTCCAAGTCCCTCGTGCTGGCCTGGCCATGGCTGTCAAAGAATGTTTGCAGCCTCAGGCATCTGGAGTGGGCCACACCTGGCTTGGCACTCACCAGCTGGAAAAGGCTATTGTCTACCCTGCCTGAAGGAGCCTTGCAGCTGGGCCAGGTCTTCCTGCTCAGCAAGATGTGGGTCCATGCACAGCTGGGTAGTGCCAGCCCTGAGCCCACAGGGGCTGGGCGCCAGGCACTGAGGCTCAGGGGGTGCAGCCCAGAGATGAGCTCTGCCCACAGGTACCCAGTCCAAGGTCCAGCGTGGTCAGTGTCCTCACAGTGCGTGCTGTGGGGATCAAAAGAGAGCAGTAAGCAGGTGTGTTAGGTAAGGCAGCCTTGACAATGGGGATCCGTGGGAGCAGGGCTAGAGGGCATTGCAGCACAGCTCAGGGAGGGCTGGACGTGGAGGGGACACAGAGCTGAGGGGACAGCCCCCTTCACAGTGAGAAGCAAGTTCTCAGGAAAATGCATCCAGGGCACTGGGGTAGCCCACAGCAAGAAAGGCTTATGAGTCCCAAAGGTAGGACTTTCTTATGCTCAGGCTGTGGAGTGTGCACAGCTGGCTCTGCTGCCCTTCCTGGGTCTCTGTCCTGTTCCCAGAGGGAATCCTCAGCCCTAGAACACCTCCAGGGGGGCCCAGCATGGAGACAGAGGAGTCCTGGACAACAGACAGATTCAGAGATAGTCACCCAGCCCTGCCTGATTGCTCTGCCTTATTTGTCTGGATCCCACCTTCAGAAAGACACTGGTTCCAGGTGTCCCCATGGTCCCCATTCCTGAGCTCACCCAGTCATCTGATCCTGGGCACAGCAGGTCATCGTAGGCTGATCCGGGAGTCCAGCTGATGTAGGTGTTCCTGGACACCAAACGGGATGGTGGGTGTCCACATCCTGTAAGGGGCCAGAGAGAGAAGGTGCTGGGATCTCCCAATGCAAGATGACCCCCAATCCCTCCTCCCACTCAGCCTAGAGCACCAATGACTCCCCAGGTTGCCAGTGTGGACTGATGTGTGGCACCTGGGCGTTGGTGGACAGAGAGGCCCATGGAGCTCTGAGATCTGAGTCTTCTGCTGTTTGATCTCAAAAAAGTTGGTTATTACCTAGACATGGTGGTGCACACCTGCAAGCTCAGCAGTCTGGGAGGCTGAGCCAGGAGAATCACAGGTTTGACTCTAGCCTAGGCAAATTAGCAAGATCCTGTCTCAAAATTTAAAAAACAATTATTAATGGATAGAAATGTAGCTTGTTGTGAAGGCCATGGGTTCAATTCTTAATGCAGTGGGAAAAAAAAAAGAATTAGTTGTTGCTCTGTGCTTTAATCTCCTCATCTGTGAGCTGACTGGGTCTCAAGAGATCTACTCTATCCATCTCAGAAGACATGAGGGATTAAGTAGATAAAAATAATAGAGTATAAAGTACCACTTTGGGGTATTAGATATCATGATGCTATAATAAAAAAATAAGTTCAAACTATATGAAGTTCCAATTTTATGGATCAAGAATAGTCAGTGTAGATAATTTATATGGCTCACTTGAAGCACTCACTGCGCATTTTGGTATCCTGGAACTTTCCACATCTTAACTAATTCTAACCTCCCAAATCCTTCCAGGAGAGAAAGTACCATCATTTCCATTTTACAGACAAAGAAACAGAGGTCAGAAAGACAATATGCCTTCCCACACGGGTGCAGGGAGAGCAGGTTTGAACTCTGGGGACACATGCTGAGCCCCACACTGGCTGTGGAGACTTACGCCAGGGTCTCCACATGAGGGCACTTCCGTAGGCTGGCAGCCAACTGCTGGGCACCCACAGCTGTGAACTTGTTGTACTGGACACTGCAGAGAGAAACTCATTTTGAGGCCTGGCCCTGGGGACTGTCTCTCTCCAGACCAAGGCTTTCTCATGATGCTGTGGGAGAACCTCCCACCTCCCCTTTGCCCAGCCTGTGCCCACACTCACTCCATCACCCGCAGGGACCCCATCTGAGGAAGTGTACGTGCCAGGCTCTCAGCACCCACGTCGCAAATGCTGTTGTTGTACAGGCTGCCAGAGACAGAGGTCAGGGAAGAGCTTTGGGGTGCTGTGAGAAGGGTCAGGGTCTCCCAGAATTATATTGTACTAAGATTCCTGTCCCATTGTAGAGAGGGGGAAACTGAGGCCCTGAGAGTTGAGGCTGCTTCCCTGTAGTCACACAGTGGGTTGAGAGGAAAAGCAGAACTGAAAGCAGGTTGTTTTTTGGCTGAGAGTGTGGAAACCTTCTGGAAAAATGACTTCCTGGGTTCAAATCCCAGCTATGCCTCTTGCCACCTGTGGAATGCTGGGACTCCCCTGAGACACAGTCTGCTCGTCTGTGCAATGGTCACAATTGAATAACTGTGGAGAAGAGCATGAGTTCATGCTGGCAGGTGGGGTGAGCTGCTAACTACGGTTATGACTCTTACAGGAGCAACTGTCAGCCGCTCTAAATGCCTATAGGTGGTGTGACCAGCACTGGGGGCAGGAAGAGAAAAAGCAGAGTCACTGGGCCATCATGCATAGCAGTAGCACAGCAGATATTCTGGTGCCAACTGCCATCCCACTACGCTCAGCACCGAGCATGCTTACTGCAGGCCAGGGTTGTGTGGTGGCTCTGGTTTCCACACTTTGCTGTGACTCAGCCGCTGAGCTGCACAGCACGGCTGTGTGCAAGGGTAGCAGGATTCAGGCTCAGCCCCAGCGTGCCGGATATCACAAGTGGTCAGGTGACAGGCAGAAGCTGTTCAGTTTCCCTTGGGGTGGGTCTAGGAACCCAGCAGCCCCTTTCTCTTCTCTGCAGGTAGACAGAGTCCTTGTATTTCTTTGAGGGTGAGACCCATGACCACAATTGACTATCCCTGAGATCAGGGTGTGATTTTGACCAGCACTGTTGTGGGTTAATCAGCAGTATTTGTTGTTTTAATAGTGTCTCCATGTGGATGGCATTGTAGTCTATGAAATAGGAGGAGCCCTTTTTTCTTTCCTTTTCCATGGCTCTGGGAGAGAACTCAGGACCTCCCACATGCCAGACAGGTGCTCCAGCACTGAGCTACACGCCAGCCTGATTATTCTTGCAGTTCACTTCAGATCAGAAGTTCCCTTCCCTCATCCCTTCTGCTTCTTGTTCACCTGGCAAAAGCCAGGAATGTCTCTGCCTGACCTGGACTCCAATGACCACTCCCACCTCACCTGTCCTTCCTGCACTCTGCCCAGCACAGCCTCACTCCCCTCAGGGCCTTTGCATCTGCTGCTCCCCCTTGCTGGGCGCTTTCCCCCAGAAAAGGGGGAAACTTCCCATAGAAAGGTCACTTTCTCCAGCCGCCCTGACTGCCCCCGGGGAACTGGCCAGTCCCCTGTTGCACTTGCCTGGGCTGCATTAGTTTCTTTCCAGCATAAGTCACTCCTTCAAAATACATCATGTCTGTGCTTACTTGCTAACTGGGCAAAAATTTGAAAGCAAAAGCACCCATCCTGTTCATAGCTTCATCTCTACTTCTTAGCACAGGTTCTGGCCCATGGTCCATGTTAGAGAATAGCAGATTCCTGTGACAACTTTGGGGGTGAGCACTGGTCACCCAGACTGTGAGTTGTACAGTGCGCAACCAGCACAGCAGCACCCTGTGGTCCTGGCTGGCGAGACACACGAATGGACACACATCTACAGAGATGAGCCAGGCACCTGTTTTCCCGGAATCTAACTCATGCTGTCCTCAGCCAATGATGAGGGCCGGGGAAGGGGACAGAATTTCCTCCCAGGCTGGTGAGTTAGGCGAGCTCCAAGTGCTGAGTGAGATTCCCTGCTATCCCAAGGTCGGCCAGGAGGTGACAGCGTAAGCACTGACTGGTGTGTGTGACACCTTCCCTGCCATCCCCTAGGATGTGGAAGAGGGGTTGGCTCTCTACTGCTGGCCAGAGTCAGGCACTGCACCCAGAGCTTTACAGAGGCCATCAGGGTAGTTCCTATCTCCCAGATAGAATCTAGAGGTTCAAGTGAGTGATCTGCCCAGATTTCTTCCCCTCCCTGCATCCTGCTGATCTTCCTGTTCAGGGTAGCGGTGACACTCAGCTCCAGTGAGCTGTGTCCATACTGGATTCTGCAGACAACACGCCTCCTCGCACTGTTTCCAAGGCTGGAGTTGACTGCTTCCAGAGCGCTGCTGTTGGGGCCCTGTGGCTGCCTGAGGCTCCCTGGCCATCCCAGCCCACCTGCTCAGTGGAGAAATCCTACTCACCTGAGCCTGAGAAGGGATGCAGAGAGCAAAGGTAGGGCCTCAGCAAGCTTGCAGGCTCCCGTGTCCGTGATGCTATTCTGGGACAGGCTGTAGGGACACGTGAGAGACCCGCTGAGGACCAGCCTACAGGCCCCTCAACACCATCCTCTCCCCCACCCCATCTCCCTACTCCCACCCCCCACCCTCACCTCACCCCCCCATCCATAATAGTTATGCCATGGGTAAGCCTAAGGTAAGATGCTGACAGCATAACAGTCCTGTGATGCTCAGAGTAGGGTGGTGGAGTGAGCTGTTGGTGAAGGAGAGAATAAAAGAAAGAGGGAGGGAGGGAGGAAGAGAGGGAGAGAGCGAGCTCCCCTCCCCTACCTATTTATGATTTCATAACATCCTCTCTTTTCCCACTGGGCCACTTACCAGCTTGGCAATTAAATGAATAGCTATATTATTTGTTTAATTAAGTGGTGGGTTCTGCAGAGAGCAGGCTGTTTATGCTTTGATCATGATTATGTCCTTGTGTCTACAGCAGTATCAAGCACATAGTAGGTGCTCAATACATACTTAAGAGAGAAGAGAGGGAGAGGCCTCAGGGAAAGAAATCTAGCTTACAGTTTACTTAAAACACTGTAAATGATTGGAGAAGTCTCAGTGCCTTACAATCAAGGAAATAGTTAAGTGAATTCTGCTGAAATATTTGGTCATCCCACTCTTATATATGAGGGGGAATGTGGACAGATTTTATAACCTCCATTCTGAAAAAAAGAAATAGTGAATTCATCTGCATTTATCCATCTTCAACTTTCCAGAATCCAGACACTTAAAAAGAAAAAAAAAAAAAAAAGAAAAGCTACCATTTTGACAATAAGGTTTTCCAGATATATCCTAACCTGTCTTTCTCCTATTTCAACCCCCATATAATTTTCTGTCATTAAAACTTACTTTTATTACTTTGTAATTGCAGATTCATTTAGGAGTCTCTGGTTTATTATGTCTCCTTGCTAGAATTCAAAATCCCTGAGATCAAGGGATTTGTTAATCTCTTTAAAGCTGCACCTTCAGATGTGTGGAATTTGCCTGCTTTCTTACAGGATGCATTTGGGAACTTTTTATTGTGTAGTTGTTTACATATTTATACGTCTGTCACTTAAAGACATGTACGGAAACAAATGTGTTTGTTTCCTAAGCAATTTCATGTAATCTATTATAAAGTTGAAATTAAACACACAGAATGTTTTAACAGTTTTTAACTCAAAATTTGTCAATCACTTTTTTAAAAGTTCTTTTTATTTTTTTGTTGATTGATACAGTGTCTCACTATGCAGTTCAGCCTCACAGTGATCCTCCTGTCTCAGCCTCCCCAGTGCTGGGATTACAGGTGTGTGCCAGGTTCCAGGGCCAGCACGGTATGCAGTATCGGGGATCAAACACGGGAACTTGCACTTGTCAGGCAGGCGTTTATGCCGCCAAGCTATCTCCCTAGCCCCATGTCAATCATTTTTAATAGTTCTTTTTTTTATAAAAAGGAATTTAAAGATAGGCAGTAGTCTCTTAAAATTTAATCACAAAAAAACTGTTAACTGTACAGTTGTTAATTGCCTGTTCTCTCTCTCTCTCTCTCTCTCTCTCTCTCTCTCTCTCTCGATGTATTTAGTACAGGGTCTACAGGGTCTTACTACACAGATTGGACTCATGATCCTCTATTTTCGGCCTCCCAAGCTCTGGGATTACAGGCTCGTGCCACTATGCCCAGTCTTAATTGTTGTCTCAGCTCAGTCCAGGGGCAGGTTTGGCCCGGCATGGTGGGGATTGAACCCTGGTCCCTGTGCCTGTCTAAGCAGGTGCTTTAGTCTGCTGAGCTATCTGGTCAGCCCTAGCAGCCAGTTCTGAAACAATAGTCTGTTTATTGAAACACAAATAAACTTTTCTGCAATATTAAAAAAAAAAGCTGCACCTCCAGGTCCTCCAATGGTGCCCGGGATAGCAGGTGCTCTTGAAATATTTGTTGAATATATTAGTGAATGACTGGATGGATGGACAATGAGATAGAAAACGACTGCCTGAGCAGTAGGCTGAACAGATAAAGAACAGATGGCCCAGGATAATGCATGCATGGCTGCACAGAAAGTGCAGGGTTGAGGGATGGACAGAGGATTGTATGGGTGTGCGAGCGCAGAATCAGAGCCAGGAGCTCCAGCCCTTGGGCAACATGAGCAGTGGGGAGGCCAGGCCCTGCCACTCACTTGAGTGTCTCCAGTGCCTTCAGCTGAGGGAAGGTGGCCGAGAGTTGTGAGACGCCCGTGTCCCCAATCTTGTTCTCACTCAGCGAGTCCAGGCTGCAGGTGGAATCAGATGGGGACTGTCACCAGTGTCTTCCTCCCTCCCTTTCTGTCCCCCAACCCTGGATGAGGTGTAGTGGCACAGTGAGCAGTCTGTTGTGAGCTGTGAGAGGCGACTTTTAGCACCCAGGGCCAGCCAAGTGTCCAAGTGGGACTTCCCATGGATCTGAAGCCATTTTGCTTTTTAAGAGCCTCTCAAGTTTAAAGGATTCCCTTTAGCACTTGGGAGCTTGACTGCAGAGTGGGATTTTGTCCCCTGGCCTTTCTAGGGGGGTTGCTAAGATCAGCCAGTCAGGTAAGGGGAGACCATGCAGAGAAGTTGTTTCTAAGGCCTGAAGGATCCCACACGGTCTTTGTGCTGAAGATTCCAGTCTGCCACCACTTCTCTGCAGCAGGCTCATCCCATGCCTCACATGAGTCATGCTGAGGAAGCGGTTGGCAAGAGAGACGAGGGGAAGGAGGAGGTCTCCCCTTGGCTGGTGGCCTGGGGACAGGACAGGCTCTGAGACTGTTGGGCCATAGTGGAGGGGAGGTCCCAGGGACACACTTACTCCAGATGCTGAAGAGAAGAGAAGGCTGGCAGGATCCTTGCCAGTTTGGGGAAAGCTTGGGGGCCAAGCGTGGGTCCCAACCTAGAAGAGAAGGGCGGTCATATATCAGGCTAGTCCCCAAGCTTCCCTTCAGCCCCAAGGTGGGGCAGCCACAACGCACAGAAGCCAGGCCTCTTCCTTCCTCATGCGCCCCCAGGTGGCCCTCCATACCTTCTGCTTGGGACAGATCTCACAAAGCCCCCAAGAGGCCAGGTGAGTTCCTAGCTCTTCTCTCTGAGCAGGGAGACACTTACTCCTGCTGACATCATTCACATCCACTCCCGCTCCTCCCACCCTAGCCTGGAGAAGGGGACCCCAAACACTAGTCAAGGCTCCCCCTCAGCAGAATACCACAGGGCTTACTTACTGTCTTTACATTTCAATAACAGAAAGAACCTTTTTTAAAAAAATTTTTAGAGCACTGACTACTTGTCAGGCCCATGTTGGTTCCTTCTATCAGCTTAGATCATGTTTAATCTTTCTGACTCTGAGCTAAGGATTCCTCCACATTTTACAGATAGGAAAGCTGAGGCCCAGGGAGGTTGGGTAACTCACTCAGGTTCACACAGGCTGGATGGACATTTAGACTACACAGACTTCAACAGAATGGAAAAAAATATGGACAATGAAGGGCCGTATTATTTTTTTAAGTCATTACATGTATTCAATGTAAATAATTGTGTTTTATACCAGAATTATGTCCTTCAAATTTGCTGATATTTTAAAATGAATAGCCTTTAACAAAATTGTGCCATCAGCAGTGGTTATTTGGTTGTACATGCGTACACTTGATGAAAATCAAAGGATGGTTGCTGCATGTGGTCACTTAGAACCATTCTGAAAGGATCTCCTCTCAGAAATAAAAGTTCTGAGATCCATGAGCCAAAAGGGAGAGGAAGAATGGGGGTGGTTGTGGCCTTGGAAAATCCCTTTATCTGAATCTCCCTCAGCTCTTGCACCAATCATAGGAGGTGACTGGGAGGACTAAGGGACCCATCATCCAATATTTGCTGCTTGTCTACTTTTTCCCAGACCCAGGAAGAAGCTATGAGCAAAATAGGTGAAATTCCCTGCCTTGGAGGAACTGGCGTTTTAGGAGGGAACGGATAATCAAAAAAGTCTGCTCAAGATCTGGGATAAGTATCAGCAACTGATAAAAGACAGACACAGTGATGAGGGCTGAAATGTTATTTTTAAACATGAGAGTCAGAAAGGGCCTGCTTCCCTGCAACAGTAGGCTCTGGGAAAGGGCACTTTGGGACCGAGCCTGAGGCCAGATCTTGCCCATTGAGGCCAAAACCCCACAGGGAGGTGTGCGTGGCAGAGGGGAGGGAGTAGAGAGGCCCCCAGCGGCAATGGAACTAAGGGTAGCTGGTGGCATCAGGGAACCCTGGCCCATGCACAGTCTCGGGGCTTTGAGCCGCCTGATGTGACAGGAAAAGGAGACAGGTACCCAGCGCAGTGGCAGCAGAGTGAACACCCTAAATAGTCCTTCCTTCCTTGCTTCCTTCCTGTGAACCTTCTTGGGCTTCCAGCTTGCAGGTGGCCACGCCGCCGGCCCAAACTGTTCCACCCCATGGCTGCTGCTCCCCAGAGCACAGTTCCCACCCTAAAGTAGGGGGTTTTTAAGCTGAAAATAAGTCATGCCAGAAAGGGTCTGTGGTGATTGTCTTCAGACAATTTCCTCTTTTCTACAATATTTTTACCTCTGCACAAATTTGGCACCACGTCTTTTGTTCAAAACAAGAAGTGCCTGGCTTTTTTTCTGGGGCGGGGGTGGAGGGAGACAGTGGAGCTGACAGCTTGTGGGTGTCACAAATCTTCACCCCACAGGTCCTCAGTTTCCTTATCTGTCAAATGGGGAAAGTGATGACTATCTCCAAGCAGCCCTTGTAATGCATGAGATTATGTATCCATAGAAGGCACCAAATCCTGTCAGCACTGAACAATGCCTTACTAATTTTTATGTGATCTTAGATTCCCACCAAGGACCCAATACCGGTTCAGTTTGTTCCTTGGTTGGAGCTTAGAATCAAGATGACCTTTGGAGAAATAATTTAAACTCCCTGGGCCTTGGTGTCCCCATCTATACAAGATGGGGAGATGATGACAAGACCTCCCAAGGAGGATCACCTGGGATAATGGGGCAAAAGTACTTTGCCAATGGAAAGCTAGATTCTGCTAGACAGATGTAAATACAAGAATTCCTTTGGCTCCTCAGGACCCATGTGCTGGTAGGCTCCCCCTGTGCAGTGGCCTGGGTCATTTCTGTCCCATTTGCAATATTGCCTAGGATGGTGGCTCCCAGACCTACCTGATATACATAGAATGACCAATGATCCCAATTTGCCTGAGTCCAAGGACCCACCAGGACACAGAACTTGCAGAGTTAAAAGCCAGGCCAGCCCCAGGCTTGTTTACTCTACCTGTGTCTGCATGTTTGAGACCATCAGTGATTCTGGGAATCAGGCAGGGCTGGGCACCACTGCCAGGAGATGGAGCAGAAACTTGGGGTGCCAAGGGTGGTTGCCAGGGATGTGCATTCCCCAGGGAGCCAGCACACTCAGGTACACAGGGCACATAGTGACCTCTCCATGGGAGGTCATGAGCTGGGGTACACGGGGTCCTTCTCCTAGCTCTGGCCACGTTACAGTTCCTACAAGCCAAATGTCTCTCTTGCATGACCTGCCCACTTGGCTCATTCCTAGTCTTTGGTCAAACTTCAGGGAAGACATTGCCTCCCCAGGAAGGCAATGTCATTCGCTATGTCACTGTGTCAGTCCACCATGGACAGATGGAAGGAAGCCTCGCCATTTAGTTTAGTGGATGGGAACAAGCAAGTTAACCATCAAGGAGGTGGGCTGCCCTGAATTCCAGAAGCCATCTCCAGCACTTGCCCATCCTGGCCAAAAACTGGTTGCCAAAGTGGTGGGTGCTAGGGAAAGAACTGTTCTAGGGATCGCTGTTTCTGCGGCTGGCAGTCGATCAGTGAATGCTGGGGAGGAAACTGGGGGTCCCGAAGACAGTCCACTGCATCACTTACGCAAACTCCAGCTTCTTTAGGTCTCGGACAGCAGGGAGCTCCTGGACTGTGTCTTTAGAGGAACTCCTCAGCCTAGAGAAAGCAGCTATAGTAAGATGCGTAGGCCCCTCAGTGCCTGGGTTCCTGCCCATGAGCCCCTGGATTCTGCCCCAGTGCTCCATGTTCCCTGGGGCTGGTAGTGGCAAGCACCTAACACATGCAAGCACATGGCTTTCATCCTCTGCACTGGATAAAAGAAAGTGGGAAAACACCAGAAGTGTGTGTTTCATAGAAAATAGGCTCAGCATAGGCCCTCTGGAGCACCTGGCCCACACTGCGCAGCAGGCACTCAAGGAAAGAGTGAGATAGCTAACTTGCTGTGTGGCCAGGTTGCCTCTGCTCTCCGCACCTCGCTCTGCCATCCCTAGGATGGGGATGACACTGGTCCTGGGGTCTCAGAGGGTGGCTGGAGGGCCACATTTGTCACTAGATGCTGAAGGCATCCTTGTTACTGCTGACAGAAGAGCTTCTCCTTGGCTTTGGGTGAGGAGTTTGGTATGTTTTAAATGGAGCAATGTCACATTGTGGGGCCGGGCTGGGGTGACTAGTGAGAACTATGGCATCTCAAAGGAGCAGAGGCACTGAAAAGCTCTTGACAAGCCTGATGACAAAAATCTTTCAGGCTGTCAGCTTGCATGGCCTACATGATCTTCCATCCTGTCTCCCCCTCACCTCTGGGTCTGCACAAGGTGGCCCAGGTCTTCCACATCTTTCAGGGACATGGCCTTAAATGGCTCAATGGTGAACTTCTCCTCTGCTGCCTGGAGTAGCTGAGTCTCCCCGCGCTGCTGCAGTGACTCCCAGAGCCCCACTGTGTCACTCAAGGCTGCCCTGTGGAGAGAGGGTCTCAGACCCAGGCACAGTGACCGGGCTAGACCGTAATGGAGGGGCAGCTCCATGAAGCCATCCCCTCCCTACTCAGATACTTCCATCCTTATCTCCACCTCCACCTGCTGCAGAAAGCTGTTTGTGGCTGCTGCAGCCTTCACTGATTTCTCCTTTCTCAAAACTCTCATTCTGGTTTTGTTTCGCTCTTTGGTTTCGGCTACCAGGAAACTCAGTGCTGGGTCTGAGTACAGTTGTGTCTGACTTCCCAGCTTAGGCAAAATGTTTAGGGGAAACATGAGAGCGATTCTCTGGAGATTAAAGGGCTAAAGCCGATTGTAGGACTTAAAAGAGCTGCACGGGGGGAGGCTAGGTTTCACTCCAAGGGTGGTGGTGTGCCTGGAAGGGGTGTGACAGGATTGAATTCAAATTGAGGAAGATTGCTTTGGGAGCTAAATATAAAATGGAGTAGAAAATGAAAAAAGGAGGTAAAGAGGTCAGGGGAGGCTGTGGCTTTAAGGGTGAGAAAGCCGATCCTTGATCAGGGACAGAGGAAAGAAAACAAATTTGATCCCAGGACACAGGCTGAATCTTCAGATATTTGTTGGAAGAAAAACACTGCCCTTCCCTGACTGTGTGGCCTTAGGTAAGCAGCGGCCCTTCTCTGAGCCTTGGCATGGTGGAATCCATTCCCCTGCTTGCTGCTGTGCATGTTAAGTGAGACCGCTCTGAGCGACTGACCATCTACGCCAGCAGAAGCAGCCCTTCCTGTGCCTGGTGCCCACCTGAAATGGGTGACGCAGCTGAGTCCCACAAGTTTCCCGAGGCCCGAGGGGTCAATGCCTGTGCTGCGGAGGTCCAGGGTGAAGTCTTGGCCAGCTGCCTGCAAGGCCTGGCCCAGCACATGGGCATCAGGAGGCGTGAGCCGAGTGCCCAGGAAGGAGAGCCGTGTGGGCAGCTCCCGCACCACATGCATCCAGAGCCCTGCCTCGTGGGCCTCGTGGGTGCAGTGCAGCAGCTCCAGCAGCCGCCCAGCCTGCAGGGTCCTGGGCTGCAGGCGCTTCAGGTATTTGGTGAGTACCTTCTGCTTCCTGTCTGCTGAGGTGGCTGCTGCAGAACCAACCAGTGCTCCCAGGCAGAGGGCGCGGGGCTGGAAAATCAGTCCAGTCAGAAAGCGTGGTACACCCTCCATCCAGTTGTCATAGGGCCTCTTTTTCCTTGGGGTCAGTGCTAAAAACTGTGGCAGCTCCTTGTCCTTGATTTCATTGCTCAGGGCCAGCCACAGGGCCCCCAGAAAACACTGCAGGAGGAAGCTGGGGAAGGCCAGCTCAGCCTCGGCAGCCCCGGGAACCTGTTGTGGTATAGGCTGCACCAAGCCTTTGGTCACAGCCCAGGTCCTCACCTGCTCTGATGGGAACTGGCTCTCCCGCAGGGTACTTTGGTGTCTGCGGCCCAGCTCCCAGGCTAGCTTGGCCAGTCCTACCAGGGCCCCTGGAGGGCTATCCTGCGCTACCTGGCCTAGCAGGCCAACATAGAGTCCTGTGAGTGTGGAGGGCAGCTCAGCTTCCTCCCCTCGCTGCAGCAAGGTCTCCAAGAGCTGGCACACTGCCCGGCACAGGGTGGGGCTGTGGCCATGACTGAGGAGAAACGGCTGGTCCTGAAGGAGCATGAGGGCTCGCTCTTGGTGATCTGAGCCCTTGAAGTAGTGCCTTATGTATGTCTGGACCTGTTCAGTGGAGAAGCCAGCTACCTCGAACAGGGCATCAGCTTTGCCCAGGACCTGGGCCAGGCGGCCACGGGGCTGGGCTGTGAGGAGCAGGGTGCAGCCTCGCATCAGCCGGCGCTGAAGGAGCCCGGCCAGCAGTCCCCGGAGGGAGCAGGGCTCTTTGCACACAGGCCTGCCAGCACTATGCAGGATGCTGTCCTGAGCTTCCAGTTCCTCAAAGGCATCCAGGATGAGCAGGATGCGGTCAGGCCTCTGGGATATGTGGCTGAAGACTTCGTCATCCATGGCCAGTGGTTGAGGGCCTGGGAAGCAGAGCAGATCCTGTAGACGGTAGGCGTCCCCTGGGTGGTCCAAGCAGTAGCAGGGCACGTAGAAGACAAAGTCATACTGTGGGAGCTGGCCACATGCCCAGGCCCGGCCCACTGCCCGTGCCCAGTGGCTCTTCCCCTGCCCGGCCTTGCCAAGCAGGGCAATCACTTGGGTCTCTCGCGGTCGCCGGCGGTCGCTGGCAGCCAGCAGCACTTCAGCAAGACCCCCAGTGGCCAGCTTTCGCTCAGACCAGTCCACGATGGCCAGCTCCCTCTCCTGGCTCTTGTGGCTGCCCTTCTCCAGCCGGGCTCTCAGTAAACCCACCTCCACCATGATGCCCTCCGGGCCTGTGGGCTCGGCTTGGTGCCAGTCTTGCAGTGAGTGGCAGAATTGCTTCACGGTCTCTGCAAAGGCAAGGTGTAGCTGGACTGAGTCTGGACAGGGATGGGTACAGGGGCAGGACCGCCACCCTCACCAGCTTCTGCTCTGTCACCCAGCACCTTCACTGCAGGCCTCACCCATCCCCAGACACTTGCTCCTCATCCCCTCCCGCACCACCACCGTTCCTTTACCACCTTCTCACTAGTTTGCCTGTTGCTCCTCCCTCCTGACTTTTTTTCTTATAGCCCTAGGGATTGAACCCAGGGTCTTCCCACTGAGCTACATTCTCAGCTCTTTTTCTTTTTTATCTGGGACAGGATTTCACTAGTCACTAAATTGCCCAGGCTGGGCTCAAACGTTCAATTCTCCTGACTCAGCCTTCTTGAGTGTTGGAATTGCCTGCATACATCATCAGGCTCAGCTTCATTTTACGCCTTCTCTTATTCCTTTTTTATTCATTAATCTTTGATCACTCAGCCTTACAGAGCGGATGGGGGAAGAGGAGGTTTAAGACTTAAGACAGTAGAACCTGGATGCTAGATTCAATTCCTGGATGAAACTGTGGCATAATCTTGAATATATTATATACTCCACTGTGCCTTAACATCCTTTTTATAAAATGAAGGTGATATTAGGGCAGTGTGAGCCTTCAATGACCTAACAGAAGCTCATGCTCTTCCTAATTTAAGCACTTAGTAATTAATCAGGACCCTTAATTAGTCCTTTGTTTGTTTGAGATAGGGTCTCTGTGTAATCCAGGTTGGTCCTGAATTTGTGGCAATCCTCCTGCCTCAGCCTCCTAAGTGCTGGGATCAGTGTGTGCCACCACTCCCGGCCTTACTCCTCATTCCCACCTTCCATTACACCCATCGGCTTCTTCCTTCTTCCCCTCTCTCCATGGCCCACTCTCCCCTCTGCAGCCCCTCAGCCTTGCAGGTGAGCTGTCTACAGCCATGCTCCCTACAGCAGCTCTTAGGGGCCGGGGCTGATTGAGGGGCAGGTGCTCGGTAGGTTTCGGGTCAGTGGCAGAACAATGCTGAGATGACACGAATGAATGAGAAGACAGCACACAAGGGACTGAGTGAGCTCAACATGAGTAGACCGCAGCCCCCTGGGGGCTAGTGGGTCCAGTACCCAGGATAGAGGGGCCCGGTCACCACTCACCAGGCCATTTAGGAAGCTGGATGGTGTCCTCTGCAGCTGCCTGGCATGGGGAAGGGGATGTTTCATTCTCTGCAAATGGAGAAGCCAGTGAGGAGATAGGATCTGGGGACCACTGGGGACATCCCTCCTCTGGCCACCCAGTCCTCAGATTCCAAGGGCAAAGCTTACACATCTTGAGACAGGGTTTCACTAGTCACTAAGTTGTCCAGGCTGGGCTCAAGCTTACAATTCTCCTGCCAAAGATTAGTGAGAAAAACTAGCCTAGTCCTCCAAGCCGAGGTTATATGGAGGTGACCTGGGGGTGCATTGGTGTCTTTTTTTTTTTTTCCTTTTCTTTCCTCTTCTTCTTCTTCTTCTTCTTCTTCTTCTTCTTCTTCTTCTTCTTCTTCTTCTTCTTCTTCTTCTTCTTCTTCTTCTTCTTC